ATATTCACGGTACTACTACTGTAGTGAACACGAACACCAGTGGGGAAAATCGGATGTATGTGACACAAAATTACAGGACTTGTTAATAAAATCTAACAATCAAATAGTAAATACGTAATTTGCAAAATGTCCATCAATTGTTTCATAATGACTCAGACTTCATTGTTCTTGCATTTTCATACAAATTGCATTCTGTTTCCATTCTTTACTGTTTGATCCTCTTGTGTCTCTGTTGCCAGACATTCCGTTCACGACTAACATCATATACTACTTATGTCGATATAAGTAGCACACACCACACTACTACCACTAACAAATATCTTGCTTATGGACTAATTACTCCGAAAATATACTTTTAGATAATCATTTCACATGAAAAGTTACTGATATTCTCGGGAAAGTATGTATATAGTAATGAATGAAGTAGGGGTAACCAGTTTATCGGTTAATACAAAATTACAGAAGGTCTTCGCAAATTACTAAAGCCATACATTAAGTACTTCATTTGCATACCTGCCATCAACTGCCCCTTATAATCTTCATCGCTCCTTCATTCTTGTTGTTATTACAATTCCTCTATGTTTGCATATCTGTTATCTTCAATTTGATCTTCCCAACTTTTTGCTTCTAGTCATTCCGTTTCTGATTAGCGTTACACACTACTTATGTCAACAGACATGCATCACAATATATATATGGATAATAGACTGGTTTTTTATTAATTGAGATAGTAAAATGATGGTTGTCAGCACAAATCGGAATATATATTTTCAAATATTTAGCTTTACTCATTATAGTTGTTTGCGAACGTCTTAAACTCATATTTTTTTCTATGGTTAATATATAGATCATTATTTTAATGATTAAAATATTCTATTTTCAATCATTAGGAAGCAAATTTCAACCGTGCACGACCTGTCTTTATTTGAGCAGTTGGATAACAGCAATAATCATCACATGAAAGTACTGCTCAAAACAGATTATATGCAAATTTAACTAGTTACTTTAATAAAAATGTTTACGTATAGGACTGTTATTTAGGCATAGAATTTGATCAGTAACTCATGAATCATACGAAAAACTTTAGTTGAAGTAAAAAATCATTCAATTAAATATTATTATACAGACAGATTACTTATAGTGAAAGTGTTAATTAAATTCATTAACTTAATCATACGTATTCATGGTATTATGAATAATATAAAATTTTTAAAGAGCTATTTCTCACTGATTATCTCGTCAGCGGAACTGAAAGTTTATCAATGATTCTTAGAGAAATATAATCAAACTATTCTAATAGTTTCTTTTGCCGACAAAACTATAACAAATTATATTCCTATTATTAAATACTTAGATGTTTATGATTATCCTAATTATAAACAAAAGATAATAGTCACCTGTCAATATTTATTTCTGAAGACAATTTAATTATTTAGCTCTATTTATGAGAGAAATTATAACATAAAATTTACAATTTAGTTGAGTTATGAATATATTACTCTTGGTGTTGTTAGAATTTCCTAGTCTTTTTATAACTGGCTAATTTATCTAAGTAGTTTGAACAGATAGGGTTATGAATATTATATATCCTCCATTTGAAAAATACTTTATCTAAAATTCTTGAGTTTAAAATGTAAATAATGCGAAGACTGAATAAGATGATTTTAGATGAGATTCCAAGATTATTTAGTGTAAACTTCTCACGCCTACATGAGATCAGTTGTGTCATGTATTTCTCAGTGGTATTGTCATCACTTGGCGCATATTTTGAAGTAGATTTGAATTCTGTGGATGCAGCATCAGTTTTCAACATATTTCAGAAACATCTTTCTAATTCGTTTCAACCATTTCAAAATTTTGATTCAGGACATTCTAGTTACTCAGTTTAAGTATTTGCTATTAAACCGAGTGTTACTCTACTTTTTGAGTACATGAAAGTCAATAGTGCTATTCTGTTGTATATGAAGAAGAAGATTAATAAATCTCCTGACGTTTAACCAGGATACATTAATTTATAAAATTTAATTTATTATGAAATCATGAAATGAAGAACAGTTATAATTGGGAAGAATAACAATTATCAGGTAGACTTCTTAATTGTTTGATATTGAACTGACTAAAAGTATTTTTCCCAAACTATTTAGTTCTGAGAGTGAAATTTTCGAACATTAACATTGTAACTGGACAAACAGATATTTTTTAAATTATCAAATTACAAAATAATTATTGACTACTATTATTGGCTTTCTTCTACATTTTTATCAGAAGATAATTTATTGAGTCGTTTTAACCGTATGAAATAAACTTGTAACTATGATAAATAATGTTTACCAACGGATATCTGTCAGTTATCCTGCCCAATTATGTTTTCTTTATTTAATGCTATCTATAACTGCGCAATCCTTTGATTTAAATTATAAAAAACCTGGTTAATTGAAAGGATCGGAAACTCTATGTTCAATCATTCTCCCCCTACATATACAAGCTCAAACACAGATTCAATCAAATTGTCAGTTGTAAGATAATTAGATATGAAATCATGCTTTTAGTATGTGTGTGCGTGCATGTATGTATGTTTGGCAAGGGATACAGTATTGATAACAATTCCATTTTTATCATTATACCTACCAGTATGTTTTATATTTGTTCGTATTAATAAAACAAAATTTATTCATGTTTTTTATGGATTATATAAAATACTGGAGCCCATATTCTATAATTTGATAATTGCTTAAACAATGATCATTAGAAAAATGAAATAAGAATGAGAGTTTTTAGAATTATCACATATAGTCAAACAATTAAATGGGAAATCGAAAAGAAAAAATAAATTAAAATAATTGAGGTCATAGTTATACGGAATTTATGTGTGTAGATGTATTTGTGAATAGTTTTGATCCCAAAAATTTTACCAGTTGAGCAAGTAATAAAACAAATCATTGCAGTATTAATATTAGTCGGAATTTTACAACTATTGGTAGTGTATACATTGAAGTTTCATAACTAATCAATGACTACAAAACTGTTAATTAGAAATCTAGCAAAAAATATATTTGAAGTTAGACTGAATATTGTTGGATGCCGTCTCGGTGGTCTAGAGGTTAAGTATTCGCACACGAGACTGGAGGCCATGAGTTTGAGTCTCACGTGCGGGATTGTGGATGCGTAATGTTAAGGAGTCCCATATTAAGGCGAAACGGTTGTTCGGTGTTTCCAGGTTCTCATTGGTGATCTAACACTGATCGGTCCATGATCTCAATAAAAAATCAACAGCCTTCATAACTCTATACTGATAAATACATTTTAACTTAAAAGTATGAAGGGATTTTGTTTCATGGCTATTAAAAGTGAAGATTAATATTTTCTGTTTAATTTCTTCAAATGTTTATCATTTCACCAATAATGATTGAGATAGTTTACTTCGTTATTTATATAAAATTGTAAATTGTTTATCGCTGCATTCTCTGAAGAATCAATTGTTCCTAAACTTGATCTCATAATAGTTTGTAAATATTCATCACTGATAAGTTTTAAAGTTAAATGAAAGAAATGTATGGTTCCTGTATGATTTCCATAGGTCATTTTTTAACCGACTTAATTTCAAGATGATAAAGAAGATTTTTAATTCAGGAGGATGATTTTCATAGAATTACGTTCTATGAGCTGACTAGTCTAATCGTGAAGATTTCACTATCTTACATGAGAAAATCACTGGCACAACCACCAAATGATGTTGTCTGGGAAGATTATAAAAGCTTGACTATTAAGCTATCCAGGTCAAAGAAAGCAGATCCATTAAAATAAGTTTATTGTGAAACACATCAATTTTAAAAGAATAAAATTAATCCAAACTTTGAAGTATCTAATCCACTCAAAACTGTTAGTAAAGTTAGAATACTTTAACAAAAATTGAACTAGACTAGCATTCAACTGAGTGAAACAACTAATATGTGTACTATTATTATTTCAAACTATCATTTAAAGCAGTTTTTGTGTTTGGTACTGATTAGTAACTGTCATTTTGGGATAAGATACATGTCTGTGAATTTGTAGCATATTTATACTTCGAGGATCAACATGTTTGTAATACCTAGCATTTTTTCGTTCATTTAGTGGGTAGATATTCAATAAAGGAGCCTAATTTTCAAAGGGCGATTTCACTTTAAGCTGTAACCTTTACTGCATATACCTTTCCCATTCAGAAAGTTGGATTGCCTTAGAGTGTCTTATTTACAGAAGACATATTTAGATAGCCTTAGATGATTGAAATGAAGTCCCTAGTAGAAATTATACTCTCATATACATCACAGATCCACTATATGAATGAAAAAAGTGCTCAAAAATACCGGATGTTGAACTTTCATTGAACATTGGAAAAGGGTGATTATCCTCATAAGTCATTAATATCAATCAATGCCCTGAAGGTGATTCGATTTCATAACATTTCGTTTTATAATCATTATAAGTAGGAGATTTATGGTCCAAAATTTTTGATAACGATTTGTCTGAAATTGAAATAATTATATAAAAGATTTTCGGAACAAAAGGTTTGATGAAGTGCTCCTTTAGTTAGTTATTATACCAAAAAGCATTTGCTTAATTATGAATTGATTGTTCATATACTGAAAATAGCTCTAATCACGGAAATCAAAGTCACTTAATCGACTAGTTATTAGATACGATAGTAATAAATACTGAAGAGCTAAACACGTCAGGTGGTTGAAGAGATTCTACAAAGAACCTATAAATTATATTCTGTGATCTCAAATATTCAAGAGACACTGATAATTTACTAAATTCTTAGTTCGTTGTTTTTTGTACTTGCTCCTATTTTATTTTACTTACAAAATACGATAAAACACAGGTGTTCTAGAAAATATATATACTGAATAAAGCAATAATTAGTGGGTTGTTTCCAACAGGTTTTCGTCTGTTATGTTATTTTTTTCAACGTATTTGGTGTACTTATTTTTGTTTGTCTATTTTCACATTCATTTTAGGTGAAAGTTTGGTTTCAAAATAGACGTATGAAGAAAAAGAAATTACAGTCACGTAATCACAATCCAACTGGTAATAATGGAATAACCAGTAGTCTTTCAGAAACTGGTAATGATATCACCGGCAAAGAAAGTGTCGAATGTATGCTAGAAGATGGTGATGATGATGAAGAAGAAGATGATGAAGACGGGCAAATTGAAGATGACGAAGATGACGAGGAAGAAGAAGAGGATAATGAGGGGGAAGAAGTGGGAGAAGATGAGGAAAAGAAAGAAATTGAAGGCAATCATCATCATCATCCTCATGAACAACAATACAATCGAATTATAAATAATTTTGACGGTTATCGTCATCACTATAGCAACAACAATAATAACAATGAAATGAACTTAAGAGGACAGTTAAAACAAATTGCATTTATGAAAAAAATAGATAAAATTTCGGATTCAACTATTGAAGAATATGATGAAGATTCTGTAAGAAGTGAGAAATTCAAAATCGAACATGAATTCCTTAATTTAAGTTCAGACATCTATTCAAATGCATCATCATGTTTTATTGAATCAATAAATGATTATGAAGGTAGTCATCCATCAATTACAGATATAAGTAATAATAATAATAATAATAATAATAAACTTTATAATCGTACGAAATTTAATAAATTCTCCCATGAATTATTCCCTCCATTTTACTATAACTCATCAATTGAGAATAATTTAATGAATTCAGAATTCAATTTTAATCCGGTCAATATGAATCGTGATTTATTATTTGATCCTTTAAAAGAATCGTTGAGAAACCAATTAGTTAATCCAAGTCAAAGTAAACATTTAAGTTCTCATATGGGATGGCCATTGGTTAGTAATAATAATAATAATAATAATAATAATAATAATAACATTATAAAAGAACACAATATGAATTTATCGTCACCATCATTATCAACGACAGTCCCAACAATAAGAACATCCATTGAATCAACAAATCATTTCACAAGATTATCTTCATCTCCCAAATTAGATTTACAAACAGACTATCATCCAATATGTTCAATGTTTAATAGTTCTTTCCATCCAGCAATTGATTTAAAATCAGCTTATTTAACATCTAACCGTCGATTGCAACAAAGAGATGATGCTCATCACAACCAATTGCATAAACAACACTGTTTAAATATCAATCAATCTGAAATATGTGATTTTATACTTTCAAATGGAAGTTCTAGAGGAAACGATTCTATTCTAAAAACATGTCCAACAGAGAGTTATTCTCAAAAATCATTGAACTGTAGTGAAAATTTTAATACATTACCACAGCTGAATCCACATATTTTGTATGATAGTAATGAATCAACCGTGGACCTAACTACTAATACTGTTATAACCACAAATAGTAATACTCCTACATCAATAGGTGTGCCTTCAAGAAGCAGAATGAATATTATGAATTACAATTTAAATCCATTCACAGTAAATGACTCTGATTATTATATGGGTCCAGTAGAGTCTAATCACAGTTACACATTTAATCTTGACTGTTCACCAATCTCTCATTACTCCTTTTTACCTACCTTAACAACGACATCAACATTAGGAACACAATTAACTACCTGTTGGCCTCCTATATCTACATCAACTACTAATAAATTCTTATCACCTCCTCCAGGGTCATATCCCTTACAGTCAACCAATCCTGATACGGAAGTGAGTGCTGCGGTATCAGATGATATCGATCAAAGTAGTGAGTCATTTTCAAGTAGCATAGATCATGAAGTGTCATTTCGAAAAAATATATTTCATTCCTTAAAAAGCTCTACAGCCGATCAGAATATTTGTGAATTAGATCAATCTAATTTATCTTATTTACCAACATCGATGAATGTATATAATCCATTCTCGAAAGGTTCACATAATTCAAATCAATTAAATTTCTCTGAAAGTAATGATTCGTGTACTTTCTCAACTTATACATCACAACTTAATAGTTCATGTAATATGAATGCAAATGAAACAATCAATCCATATTTACCTGAAACAGATTTTCATTTAATTACTGATCGTGGTCAAGATGATCATTCTATAAAACAAAATCCTTCATTAACACAATACTCATTACCATCTAGTACAAATTTATCTCCATTACATCAATTAAACAATGTATTTAATCAAGTTAATCATAGCGATTTTAATTCGATGTTTTATTCACCATATTTGCATAATTCAAATTCATTTGGTCATTCAATAGCTGGACATGATACGTTAACTATTACCGATTCATATAATCCTAATGCTCTAAGTAATTTAACACAATCAATAAATCAGTCTTTCAGTCAATCTCCTAATATAACTCCTGTTATTATTAGTAGTAGTAGTGGTACATTTACAATGAATAGTACTATTCATTTAAGTAATTTATGTAATACGACCAATATAAATAATGTCACTCTACCATTCCCAATGATTTCTACGAATACACATTCATTAGACTTATCTTCTACATGATACGTTTGAATTCCAATAATTGTATGAATATGTATATTTTAAAATCAGTATTCTATGATCAATATAATTTCTAGTCTCATTTAACAAACTTTTTTTAAAAATTTTACACTCAAAACAATGATATCTTAATCAGATAATATCTATTATGTAAATAGAAATGGATAAGATGATATTGTTCTTTATACTACAATACAGTTTTAAACATAACAAATGAATGTCGATTGACTTAGATACAATCATGTATTCTTATAATGAATAATTAGTCAATCGTTATTCATATTATTATGTCATAATTTGATAATTAGAAACGAAATTAATTTATATTCATTTCAAAGTTTACATTTTGTGTCATTTAAAGAAACTTATATAAGACAAATTACTCCCTTGAATTAAACAACAATATCACCTTCAATATATTGGTTGTAATACTGGGATATCTGTTTTGCTTTTTTTTGGTTACCTTGTGAATTAAAAATTTTTTTATAACAGTATTCATGTTCTTATGTTTTTTCCATTATGTCTCATATTTTATCGTTTCTTTCCTCTGCTTCGCTTATTCACTCATTCAGTTCACCTTACTTGACACGCACACAACCACACGACAAAAACTATGAAAAAGTAAGACTTGACCCAGCATATTTCTTACAAAGAGCCAATTTACCTTGTTTTTTCCTGTTGACGTTGTTTGTTTACACATAAATAATTATTTACTATTATTATTTATAATTATTATTTGTTACTTGAATTTTCAATTGTTGAATTTTGATTTCATCATCTTCACACTATTAAGACAAAACCAAAACAATTTTTTTCTAAAAAGAGAGAAATTAATGATGAAAACGAAAACAATTTTTGTTTCTGAACAAAATTGAAAAGAAACTATATATTTTACTATTCCTCTATTTGCCTCGCTCCCTCCCTCCCGCCTTCCATCTTCCTGTATCATCTTTGAGGGTTTTGTAAAGTCACTTTGTTCCTTCTTCTACGATAACGAATATCATGAAATATATGTAATATGGGTCTGAAGTTGTTTATCAAATGTAATTTATTCTTCAAAAATCAGTTACTATTGATTTAAACTTTATGATGAGAGAATGAGGTTTATTTTCATTGAAATAGTTGAGATTTTATCGAATATAAAGTGGGTTCAACAGAAACTCAGTGTTTAGTTGCTGGATAATGATCCTGTAAATTTAGTATAGAATAGTGTTTGTATAAAAATGATTACTTGCTTACTTACGCCTGTTACCCCTCGTAGAGGAGCATAGGCCACTCACCAGGAGTCTTCAAAGAACTCTGTCCTGGGCTATCCTCTCAGGTTGTTTCCAGTTGCTATCCATTCTTTTAATGTCTACTTCTGATTCGCGGCGCAATGTGTTCCTTGGTCATTGCAAATGACTATCAGCTAAATTTTAAATTGCAAATAACTCTAACATGTAGATACACAAAATATCAATTTTATTCGTGTAGTAATGAACAATTCCAAAATTAAAATTAGTAAGAATAATTCAGACCAGTTATCATACAAACTGAAGTGGTTTAGTAACTGAAAATTCATTTTATTTAATCTTAAATCAAGCTAATTAGCTATACAATTAAACTAGTTCTCACCGAGAAATTAATTACCATGAATAATTCTTTCTTACCTCTGCTAATCGAGAAAAAATGATGTAGTATAAAACAGTAATAAATTTCTACATGATTTATAATTCGAATTAGGAGAGATGCAGTTAGGAGGATATTTTAATATTTAGTTTATTTCGTAAATGGCTATCATTCTTCGATTAGTTATTCAGTCATTTTTTAAAAAAATTCGTTAAATTAGGAGAAATATTAGCCTTTTATAAGTGAATTCAGTACAGAGATCTCTAAAGTGCCAACAGTCGGTACAAAATGAATTAACTATGTACCTTGCAATTAGTCGATAATATCTATTGTAAAGTATTACCAGACTAATAACTAGATTTGAGAGGAAATTCTTGGAGTCCTAGTAAGAGGCCGTGACAATTAGAGCATAACCGTGTCGGGTGTCAGACAGCTATCCACCGAAGACAAAGGAAGATAGTCCCGTAATATCGTGTATTGACTGGAGTTAGACACTAACACCACTGGATGCCGGCTCAGTGGTCCTTGGTTCAACTCCCGCATGTGAGTTCGTTGATACGCACTGATGAGGAGTCCCATACCATAATGAAATAGGCGCCAATTACTTCCATGTTTTCAATGATGGCCCAACATTGATCAGGTTATGATTACACTGAAATTAATTGAATTCAACAAAAAATTCAAAACCATTGATTCGTGTTTATAGCGTTTACCACAAGACCTACAACCGATTAGTTTAATCCTGTTCGAATGCTATGCTCAAACTGTTGAATCATTCTGAATCACGACAAAATAATTATTCTATAACCCTTAATTTTCACTATTCACTTAAATGATGTCAGACAATTATAAAATAAATCGATTTCCAGAGAAAATTATCTATGTGCCTAATATATATATATATATTTTTTTAACACAATTACTAGAATTAGGTACACACAAACAAAACCTCGATGCTACAGTTCCATAACTGATGAATATTTAAGTTAAAATATATTCATTTGTGCTTTATTTTTAACTAGATATAAATAAATACATAAGGGCATTGATTGACACTTGATAATAAATTCATGTTATACGACTTGGATTCATTTACGTAATACTTATGTCTTATTAGCCGTGTACAATTGGTAATAATAATAATTCAAATAAGCAATTGTAATTTTATTTAGTCTGATATTTATTTTAATTACTATTTATAATCATAACAGTTTATCAATTGAAATGATGGTGCATTACTAATATGTAAAAGAAATATATCACAATGCTTATATACAATGAATTATTTTATCATTATTATATAATGAATAAGAATAGTAATAAAATGTAATAATGAATAATGCCTTAAAATGTTGACTTATTTAATAGATAATTAAAGCTCAATAATCATACCATAATGAATTAATTGAATGATTGACTAAATTGGTTATTTAACTGATTTAAATGACTAGGTTGAATGAATTCATTATTTGTCAAGGTCACTGTTCAATAAACATGAATGAATCAATTGAAGCTGACATTTTATTATTATTGTTATAAGTATTATTCAATTAATTAGTGATGAACTGGGAACGGTTAATAATTGGTATCAATAATATTATATTGAAAAGTTTATCATAAATAAAATTACTGTTTACTGTCATCCTTCTTCACGTTCAATTGTGCTTTAGAGATTGTATGAATATATTTCTCATAAGATAAATTGAATAGAAGTAAAGTGAACAGTGTTAAGGATAACAGTTACCTGGAAGATAATTAGTATCATGAACTGAGGTCACCTGGAAAACCGCTGAATACCGTAGAACACTAAAAATCTAGTTTTTATTTTTTAATTTCTGGCTATTCAGGAGGTTCAAAGGTTTCAGATTCGATTTCATGTGTACCCATGGATTGCATGCTTCACAGAGGTCCAAACAAGAAAAAAAAATATTCAATAGTTTCTGATTAATAATGGTTTTCCAAGTATCGTCAATTCATCAAGAAAACTACCTCTAAGATTTATCAATGACTTGAGATGATAGAAAGAATTTATAGTCTACCATGAGGATTTCGGAAACATTTTCTTCTTTGAGCTGAATGAAATGACCGATGAAGCTTTCAATGTCTTGGTGGAAAATATCGAAAAAATGTTATTTTTGAAGTATGTGTTAATGTTGCTTCGAAAACTAATGAAAGCTTAGTAATTAAGCTGTTCAATACAGAAAGCATAACGCTTTTACACTGTATAATGATCTCTACAAAACATTTCAGAGGAATTTTTATCAAAGCTACATTAAATGATCAAAAGTAACAGACTATGGAGTATTTATAAAAGTTAAAGAGTGACTAGTGATGGAATCGAGAACCAACTTTTCAGCCTGTTTGGGGATTGTCCGCTGGATGTACCTGTATCCAAAACCTTTTAATTCAGATATCAACGCGTTGTTTATCAGGCTGAGTCCACAGAGCCAATAACTTGTGCAATGAGTTTAAATTTTATTTGTCAGAGTTTGTATTCTCCCTTTGTTGATATTAAAGACTACAATAAATCAGTTTTAATCGGCATATGTTGATCCTTAAGGGATTGTTTCGATGTGGTCACATAGTTACGAGCATTTATTTAAGAAAGATACAACTTCTTGCAGGCACTGAGCGTTTGCTTATCCATATATAAATAGGAAATTAGTCTCAGTGATATTAAATTTATTTTATACAGGAATCTTTGAAGAAATACGTTACAATGCATATAAATTTTTATTGAATAAACAATACGTGACTGTTTATTTACTGTTATCATAACGAAACAGAAATCTCATTCATATTATTACTACTGAAATATCTATATTTTTTGGACACACAATCCTGGTTTTCCCAGACATAAAGCTATTGCTTCGTCAATGTTAAGGAGATGCAATCTAACTGCCTTTGACATCCTTCTACTGACCTTGTAGATGAAAATTAAATATGAAAAAGAACAGACACCACGAGCGATAAATATTCTTTAAAGAAGTAATAAGTACTCCCTCATGAATTTCACTTTAATATCTGAAGTAATATAATCTGGATTCAGTTCTACAAGAAAATACTAACACTTGAGTGAGGATACTTAACTTATCAGTCCTCATTAAAACTAAACGTTTATACCAGATTTTTCTGTCGATTATCAATGAACAAATAATATAAAAATTAATTTTTATCACTTTCAATGAATTAAAAAAACAACAGTTTGCATGTCTGAATTAAATTCAAATGATATGAATGAAAAAATTAAAAATCATTGAAATTCTCATGACTGTTTGTTTAAACAAATAAACTGCCTGTTAACATATCTCTCTAATAAATTATTTTCTTTTGTTTTGAAATAAAATTCGACAATAAAATTACATACTTACTTCTTACTTACGCCTGTTACTCCT